ACGGAGCTGTACTGACATGGATGGATGTGTCGCACAGGCTGGGCTCCCTGATGACTGGGCGAGACCTTAGAGTGACAGTTCTGCAGTTCCCTGAGCAACTTCTTTCAACAGACAACAGAACTTGCCAAGCGGTGGCAATCCCATTATGATCCACTTCGTTGGTGAAATCTTGATTTGAGGAGCCATTAGCTCTGTCAGGGATCACCAGGACTTCAATATCATCACAATAAAGTCCTCTCCACCCCCACCCCAAAGTCCTGGGGAACGAGGACTCATTGATCAGCTTCCAGTGACAGTTATTCCATTTATTCCACCTGTGAACAGAGTAGTCCATGAAAACCCAAGGGCTTCTGTTTTCTAGGAATGGTCTAACAAACTATTAGCACAAGCAAATCTATAGAAAGATACAAACCATGATGTCACAAAATGAACCTAAAAATATGTGATCTACGAGCTAACAAGCCTTCCTGATGAGCCAAGCACAATTCTAAGGGCTTTATGCGTGACATGTGCTACCTCATTTAATTTAACTTACTTCATACTGACCTTATGAGGTACGTACTATTCTTATTCTCATTCTACAGAGGAAGAAAACGAGGCACCGGGAGGTTAAAGAACAAGCTCAAGTTCGCCCAGCCGGGAAGTGATGGAGCAGAGTTGTGAACGTAGGCCAGTCTCACTCCACCACCTGTGTTCTGCTCCACGACGACTTCATAAACGGTAAATTCCCCTAATAGACTTAAGCCAAGCAAGTTGGAGCATCAGAGGTCTGTTTACATGACGCACTGGGTAAATCCCCAGGGCAGCACAGGCAGGTCCTATGGGAGTTGTGAAGCCTGTGAAGTTAAGCTACAGACCTGTCTGCCCCCACTCTCAAGCCTCTCTCCTCGCCTCTCTCAGATGGTCCTATTGGCCGTGGACTCCCACCAAGACCAGTATGGAGAAATGAAGAATTTCTTGGCCTTTATTAGGTCATGTGAACACTATGGGGATAGGAAATAAGAGATATTAATCCTTTTACCTGGAAAAAATGCATTCATGAACGTAATATTGCAGAGGGTTTAGTAAAAAAAAAAATTACTGTCTGAGAAGGACAAAGCATCACTTCTGCGTATTCCTGCCCAAATGTACAACCTGCATCTAACAATGAAGAAATGTCAGACAAACCCCAATGAGGGACGTTCTATAAAATAAATGGCTTGTACTCTTCAAAAATGTCAAGGTCAGGAAAGACAAAGGAAGACTGAAGAACTGTTGCAGATTAAAGAAGACCAAAGAGACGAAAACTAAAGGCTACATGTAACCCTAGACTGGATCCTGGGCCAGAAAAAAAAAATTGTTTCTTCTGCTCTAAAGAATATTAGTGGGACAACTGGTGAAATTCAAATAAGTCTTGTAGATTAGCTAATAGAGATAATACAGAGAAAGAGAGAGAGAGTTATAAAGCAAACAAGGTAAAATGTTCAACATTTGGGGAATCTGGGTGAAAGACATTCAGGAATTCTTTGTACCATTTTTTGCAACTTTTCTGTAAAGCTGAAATTATTTGAAAACTTTTAAAGTATTTTTAAAAATCTTGAAGTCTAGAGTCAGAGTGCTTCATCATGTAGTAAATAAGAACTGCACATAACCTGCAGCCTGTCCGAGCTCTGCACGTCCTCTACGTCTACAGAAAAAGGCTGAGAAGTGTTCTCATGAGACAACTAGCAGAGCAGGACAGCAAGAGTTCCTAAACTGTGGAGTGCAGTGCAACCTTGGGGTCAAGAGCCCAAGTCACTCACCACCAGTGCTCTGTGACCTTGGGAAAGTCACATAAGCTCTCTGTGCCTCTACTGACTCACTGGTAAAATTCACATAAAAATAGTATTTACCAAGGAGAATATCTATGTGACATTAGGAAAGGGGAGGAATTCTTAAACAAGACACAGAATGCTAAAACCATAAAGGGAAAGGGTGAAACAGATGACTACGTTAAAATTTAAAACTTTTGAATGGCAAGACACCATTAACAAAGTAAAATGACAAACCACAGAGAGAAGACCTAAACCTGACATGAGATCAGTATCCAAAATATGTAAATAAGTCCTATGAATCAATAAGAAAAACATACATAAACTCAATTAAAAAATAGTCCAGGAGCTGCCCCGGTGGCACAGCAGTTAAGTGCCCGGGCTCCACTGGGGCGGCCCGGGGTTTGAAGGTTCGGATCCCGGGCACACACCAATGCACTGCTTGTCAAGCCATGCTGTGGTGGCGTCCCATATAAAGTCGAGGAAGATGGGCACAGATGTTAGCCCAAGGCCAATCTTCCTCAGCGAAAAGAGGAGGATCGGCATCGTATGTTAGCTCAGTGCTGATCTTCCTCACAAAAAAAAAAAAAAAAATAGTCCAGAAATATCAACAAGAAATTGATAAAGGAAGAAACCTGGATAGCCAGTAAGAAAAGATGGTCAATATCACTAAATTCAGGAAAATTAAAACTAAAACAACAAAGATATCATTGCACACGTATAGTCATAAGCAAAAATAAATAAAGTCTGAAGATATCGAAAGTTGGCAAGGATATCTAGAAATGATATTTATACATTGCCGGCAAGAGTATACATTAATACTTCCTTGGAGAGCAATCTGGCTAAACCTCCTAAAATTCAACATGCGATCCACTACAGAGTCAGCAATTCCACTCCTAAGTGTGTATCCTTGAAAACTCTGACATGTGTACCCTAGGAGACATGTACTAATGTGTTCAATGCAGCACTCTTTGTAATAGAAAAAAATCTAACTGTTCCTAACATAAACTGTGGCTGATTAATACAATAAAATACTATACCGCAAATAAAATGAACAAATTAGAGCAGTAGTTCTCAAATTTTGCAATGCATCAGAATCACCAGGAGGGTTTGGTAAAGGACAAATTGCTGGGTCCTACCCTTAGAGTTTCTGATTCAATGGGTCTCGGGTGGGGCTGAAATTTTGCATTTCTAACAAGTTCTCAGTGTTCCTGATGCTACTTGCTGGTGTAGGGACCACACTTTGAGAACCACTAAACTTACTATATGTTTTAACACAGTTAAAACTTGAAAATCTAGTACAGTTAAAAAAAATAAAGGAAAGTTGTAAAAGGATACATAAAATATATCCAAACACATTAAACAATAATATTCAGATTGGGCATATATATATGTACCTTTATAATAAAGGTACAAAATATACACGGGAATGTATATCAGGAGAGTGATTATCTCTGGGAAAGAAGGGGAAGAAGATGGGAGGAGAGTCTTAGTGGTGAGTAGAAAGGTATGTGCTATATTATTTTATGTACTTTAACGTGTTTGAAATGTTAAGGAATTTTTAAAGTTTAAATTATATAGTATCTATCTCATGGGGTTGTTGTGAAGAGTAAATGAGATAACGTGAAACTTCTGAGTGAGTAAAGATAGCAAGATAAAGTTTGGTCACAGAATCTCTGTCCTTGTATATCTAACCAAAAAATAATAATAATAAAATTAAGTTAAAAGATACCAAAAAATTAATTAAGAGAATTAATCAATTCAACCAAACAATGAAAGGGTACAACTTTATGGCCTAAGCATCAAAAAAAGGTAACCAAGGAAAGAAACAGAAGATTCTGAACTGAGTCAAGTGTGGTTCTTAACCTGCCCCACAAAAGCATAACGGGAAAGCAGGTGAATCTACAAAATCCTGAGACTTCTCACCTAGAGTGAATGAACAACCTGGGAAAAAGTAAAGGAAAAATCTCTGGGAGTAGAATTCCCTATTGGCCTCCAGGAGCTCTCAGCAGAGACAGGAAAAACCACCCAGCTTCCATTTTCCCAGGTGCCATGATGAATTATGATAAGGATCTGAAGGCCAAGTGTATTTGCTCAGAAGCATTGAACATATCCTGCCCTATTCCCAAGGAAAAAACAAGACCAGAGAGTGCATCCCTGTTTCTTTCCTCAAGTATTTACCTGTTTGCAATTACACACTCAAGTGTGATTATTCGCCCAGTTCTCTCCACTAGACAGTAATCTCCAAGATAGCAGAGATGGGTCTACACTTGTTCATGATGGTGCCTAGCAAGTAGGTGTATAAAAAACCAGACAGCCACCTCGTAGGTATATAATAAACATTCGGTGAGTAAATGAGTGAAGGAGTGAGCATATGAGTGTGTGTCAAAGAAATCTGACTTCCCATGGTGCTCAAATTCCACAGCCACCATTTTTACTTGGCATGCACTACTCACAAGGAGAAAAACTAGACCCCATGGGATCGGAGGCATTTCCTAACTAATAAAAGAGCCTACCTGATTCCTATAGCGATAACCGTGATTAATAGAGTGTATTTACAATTGCGTGAGCAAATTCCATTCCTTGTGACAAATATATCCTGTAGATTAAACGAACAATACGTACAACATTTTACATGCTTCACGGTCAACAGTTACATCCTGGGAAATTTATTTTTGACATTGAATGAATATTCCAGGAAAAAAGAACTCAAGAAGAACCTGTGCCTATATCACCAGAAGCCTTTTGTCTCTCGTCAGCGACACTAATAGGGTACACAGCCTATTTAAATATAAATTTGAATAAAACATTTTCTCTACCTCTTTGCTTTCTTTGTTCCTTGTGATCCTGAGGTTACAGGAATATATATACTATTCTCCAACACACACATCGATAGGTGTTTTGGGTTTTCTTTAGTTTTATGCAAGACTAAATCAAAATATTTTAGGATTTCAATGATCTATTTCCACAGTTAAAGAGGAAGGAAGGCGCTCCGAAAATGAGAAGAAAGGCGAAGCTCTTTGGGGTGCAGGGACCAGGCCTGGCAAGCATCCTCAGCCAGGGACGCCGTTACTAGGCAACCCCTCGCGTTCTCAACCGCCGCCCGAGACCAGCTTCCCCGCCCTCATTGCTAAGGAGATGGACGCCCCAACTCAGCCCTGCCGTAAACCCGCACGCTCTTGCGACATTGCCGCGCCTGCCGCTGCGTGCGCGCCCTCTGCCCCCCACTCCCCGCCCCGGCCGCCATTGCCTCGTGCCCGCGCCGGTCGGTTGGTGGCGCCTTTGTCCTGTGGCGGGCAGGTGGGCTGAGGCGGAGGCGGCAGCGGCGGGCCTGAGGCGAAGGAGCGGCCGGGAGCCCGCCGCGCTGGTAGCGGTGAGTGCCGGGAAGCGGTGGCCGTCCGCCGAGGCGCGGGGCTGACGGGCAGGCGGTTGAGGGGCCCGGGCCGGATGGGGAGGCTGAGGCGGGAGGGCCCGCTGGACGCGCGGCCGCGGCCTCGGCTCGTCTCCGGGTGCGCGCGGGGCTGCGCATGCCCGGTGCGGGGCGCGGCCTCCGCTGGCGCCCGTCCGGCCCAGGCGCGGCCAGCCGGGGCGGCCGGTGATGGGCTCGGGCGCTGCGGCCGCCTGTCTGTGCGCGCACCGCCGGGGATAGCCTTCTTGTAGGGTGGGGCTGCACACCCCGCTCCCCCTTCTCGAAACGGTGACGTCGCTCGCCCGCGGGTCCTCAGCGAGTCGGTGGCGCAGTCGGGATTCGAACCCGGGCTGAGGCGGCCCGCCTCCCGGGCGTGCGGCGCCGTGCGCGAACCGAGCGCCGTCCCCTCGCGGCCCCTTGACAGCATCCTCGAGACGTCTCCTCGTCATGTGACTCCCCCACCCGTTTATAACGCGACCCCGGGCCCGGAGAACGGGAGAAGGAGCCGTGCCCGAGGTTACTCCGGAAACTGGCGACGGAGACAGCGCCCCAACCTGCTGGCTCTCCCGTCTCCGGACCCAGGGCGCTTCCCGCGCCCAGACATCCCGCCTGGGGCGTTTTTTTAGCACGGCGTTCCCCAAATTTGAGTCTCTCGCGTTGCACCTTTACGTCCGTGTACCATCTGTACTGCCATTTACCAAATGTTAATTTTTTTCTTTAAACTGACTCTTTTTTTCTTAAATATGTTTGTTTAAGGTGGAAACGTAAACCACAAACCGTATAATGGAAAGCCAGTTATTTTTCTAATACTCATAAAAAAAATAAATACCTATCAATTAAAATAAACCGCGCGTCCTCGTTCCTCCTGAAATTATTGTGCGTTCCACGCTTTGGGAAACGCTGCCCCATGAGTATGGGGTTCACTGTGGTCTTCTGGCTTTAGCTCTGTGCACAGAGGTTGCCCCGTCCCTGAGGCATAGCAGATTCCATGAAATGCCCCAGGGTCTTCGGGGATGGTAATTAATAATATAAGTTGTGTCGTTGTAAAGTGTTCTCGTTATTGACGTGCAAGTGGTAGTCTCAGGGAACTGCAGGAACTGTCTGTCTGCTCAAGCGCACCTGGTGTGCCTCCTCGGTTTCCCTGCAGCCTTGTGGTAGCCACCCCGCAGTTTAAAAGAGATGATTCTGCCAACGCCGATGGAGCAGTTTTGGTTTTTGACAACTCTAGGTTTAATGTTTTCTGCATGAGTCAGTCTGAGTGTGAAAACTAACTTTCGTGTGGACGTTTTCGAACCAGTAAAGCCCAAGCTTTGCATTGTGGGTATTGGAGATCACTTGGCTGTTAACAGTTTCTTTCTTCATTCTGGTTTCTTTGCCTTTCTTGTAGCTCGTCTGTCACCTTCCACATATTCTTTGAAAACTCTGACAGTCTTTTCACCTAAAACATGGAAGCAGTGATTTTCCTTATACAATGTACTGGAGAAACCATATTGCAAGGCCCAGTGGAAGGAATTTAGGTGCAGGTTGCTCCATGTCGCGTGCCTGTGAACACCACAGGTTTAGAGGAGGCGTTGACAGATAAACTTATAAGTTAACAGTCTGTTCTGTTGGTAGTCTATTCATAAGTTCTGTTTGTGTGTGAGGGAGCAGATTTACTTTAATTCATCGAAAGGAAACTCAGAAAAGTTAGCTCAAGCCATTCAAGAGTTTTTTCCTCAAAGCCTATGTAGAAGAAAATCCATATTCCTTGGGGTTACTTTTGAATGAGCACAATGTAGAACTTACATAAGGCAAAGGTGATTTTCTTCACATTTCTAAGCTACGGTCCTGTGTAGAGAAGAAATGAGAATTTCTTTTTACTCAAGTCACTTTCTGAACTTCAGCATATGGAACCTCATCTACCAGTGCTCAAATGCTAAGAATAAACATCTTTTGGAAAGGCGTTAGAAGTCTGATGAGAAAGAGTGCCTGATGGTTTGAAACTTCATTTTAAATAACCATTGCAAGCGTTCTGTCTCTGTGGCCTGTAGATGGCACTGCCTTTGTACCGCTTGTTACTACTGTGGGAATTATTGGAATTCATTTGTGCTTTTAAAAATGAAAACCTTTGGAGGAAATCTATTTGATATTTTATTCCCTTTAGTTTACATTGTTTCTTTGTTTTTGATTCCCTACTTGAAGAATGAAACATCTCTTCCTATACTCACTATTGCTCTTAGGGATGATGATAAACAACCGGCAGTCCACACGGGTTACAAAGCAGCTTTACAAATACCAACTCATTTGCTCCTGCTAATCATCTTGTGAGGTAGATAGACCAGTATTATTATTATATCTTGTTTGCATGTGAGGTAACAATGGCTCGAGAGGTTAGATTTCTTGCCCAAATCACATATTTAGTGGAACATATTCAAGCTGTTATTGAAGATAAAAGATTTCATGGTCAAGCAAAAATTGGGAAATGTTGAGGTAAATGGGTGTCCTTACTCCAGAATTTCTCAGAGGCTTTAACATGCTAAACATGTGCGATGTAGATGTCCGAGACAGGAAGATACCATGATGCGTTTCTGTCACTGTCCTCCCATGAACAACTTGAGGTACTAGTGTTACCCAAAACTGATCACTCTTTCTGCTGCACTCTTGTTCCTCTCTGTACCTTGTGGTTTACTAGTAATTACCATGTGTCTTTGAGACAAGAGCTTTTAAAGCTCAGGCAGCTTTTTTGTGCCAAAAGATTTGGCACAGCATACATATTTGTCTATAGACTGTTCGTCTTAGGCAGAGTTAAAGTATACTATCAAGAAGTTAACAGGGCATTAACCAACAAAATTACCCTCTATGTTACTCTCATTAATGAGAGGCATTAATGAAAGGATCAGGGTAAGGCCACTGTCGGAAGCAACAGCACATTAGGGAAATATGAAGCATACTGACAGCTAAATATATAATACCAGCATGCCTGCTGCTTTTTAAATGGTGGTTTTATTGCCACCAGATATGAATATTTATAGGGATGGTCATTTTCATTCTTTATCCTATCACTAAAAAAATAAGAGATAGTAGGTCAACTGGACCAAATGCTTGTGTGTTTAGAAAATAATTCCCCTCAAAGAATCAGAACTTTTCCAAACCATAAGGCTCTTTTTCTTTTATTTCATGTTCAAAACAACATTATTGTTGACCTATATAAAGACTGGTGACTTTAGGCAAGGATCAGGGCAACTTAAGTTGCATTGGAGAACAGTTATAAAGCAAAGTGTTGTACAACTTTAGCTCTGTAAAATACCTTGAGTGGTCCCCTGGTTTGGATCTGGAATGATTGAATTACTGAAGATTAGGTTGATCCTACAGCTAGTGGGCAAGTTTTGGAGAACTTTGAATTATAAGTAATTTGGATTTAAATGAGTATACTTAATTATGCAATTGGAGATTGAGATAGTAATAACATGTATTTAGGATCAGAGATGATACAAGTTTGTTTTTAATCTCTCTTCAGAAATTATTTTTGATATCCAAAAGGAGAAAAATAGGAAAAACATGATTTTCATTCAGTTTTAAAGTTTAGGATTATAAACATATAACTGAACCTTTTGCAGCCTTTGGGAAGCTTACATTAGGACAGCATCAGAGTCACTAGACCAGCTGGTTGGAAATATAGATCCTTGAGTGCAGCTCCCCACCCCCCACTCCCAACTAACTGGTCTCTGGAGGTGGGGGCTAGAGAATCTGCCTTTTCAGAAACCACCCCTGCAGTTTTTATGTACATTAAAGTTCTGAGGACCCTTTGGGGCCAGCCGGTGGCATATTGGTTAAGTTTGCACGCTCCACTTTGGAGGCCCAGGGTTTGCGGGTTCGGATCCTGGGTGTGGACGTACACACTGCTCATCAAGCCATGCTGTGGCAGCATCCTACATACAAAATAGAGGAAGATGGGCACAGTTGTTAGCTCAGGGCCAATCTTCCTCATCAAAAAAAAAAAAAGTTTTGAGGACCCTTGATTTAGGACTTTAGAAAATGAGTTTTCACTAGAAATAGAAGGTTGAAGCAAATTCTAGTACTAAACTATTCATATCCCAGATTACTAATAGGAATTGACAACTTGGGTTTATGGTTGGGTTTACATTAATGGATTCATTTTAAGCAAGACCTTAATTTAACTATAAAGTGTTTGGGGCTTTATAGCTTGAGCTGGAGGTAGTGGGAATAGTTAGAATATCTGTGGAGTTCTCAATATTTTAATTCCTTCCATTCACATCACCAGGATGCTTTCACCTTCTTGAGAACAAAGAAAGCAAACCTACCAAGATTCCATGGTCTGCTTATTAACTTTAGCTATGCTCCACTTTGCTTTTAGTGGTATGGATGTGAAATTGTCGGTGTGGCCATTTTTCTCTTTTTGCAAAGAGTTGCATTTAGATATGAAAACAAAATGCCTCAAAAGAAACAGGTAATCTAGCCCCTGCCAGCAGAACAATACTGACAGCTCTAGTTTGCAAAATTTTGAGAGAACTTTAGTTGACAGTTTGCCCTTTATTAGCCAAAGAAGTGGATAACATGCTATCAGAAAGTGGCAAGCTCAGTGGTTAATGTTTTTCCTGCCATTTTATAACTAGGTAATTCGAAAAAGAAGCCTAAATTTTCAGAATTCTTTTTAAACAATCACCTGAAATTGAGGAGAAGTGATAGACTGCATAGTCCTCCTTGGAGAGGGGGCACTGACCTTATGCTTGGATATTATTATTATTACCTTTAGCACTATGGAAACTTGGGTTGATGATTCCATTTCCTTTGGAAGTAGCCATGTGATTATGCTTTCTGTACTGTTTTCAGGGATTATTTTTTTTACACATTTTAGCCGTTGTCATGACACTTTCTTTGTAACAGATTATGAGTTATTTCCCCTTGAACATAGGAGTTTAGAGAGGTTTCTAAATGGAGGACCTACGTGTATGTTATGTATAAGC